TTGCGGGTTCGTGGGTCCATCATGTTTGGGACACCACGGGACATCTTGGGGCACCACATCGATCTCAGTATCGATCTTATTATCGATCTTATCCGTAAGGGCTTCGCCCCCTGCCGCCGGCCCCCTCTCTCGGAGAATGGGCCATGGAAGAGCTAAGTCATGAGGCCTTGGCGCTGTCGTGAAGCAGTATCGAAACTTCATGCGAAGCCGAGTCGCAATCAGCAAAACCAACTGATCACAAGAGGGGTTACCACACCTGGCGATTGGTAAGACGTGTATGGTTTAAGGGCTTGGTTACCACACCTTGCGATGAAAGGGCCGAGGGAGTTCTCGCAGTTTGGGTTACCACGCCTTGCGATGGATGTGCGTGATGGGTTCGAATTTCAGAAATGTGGCAAATCCCCTGTGTTTTTGGACCCTGACCCCGCGGATCTGCGTGAGGGGTGGCACCGAATTTCAGAAATGTGGCAAATCCCCTGTGTTTTTGGACCCTGACCCCGCGGATCTGCGTGAGGGGTGGCACCGAATTTCAGAAATGTGGCAAATCCCATGTGTTTTTGGACCCTGACCCCGCGGATCTGCGTGAGGGGTGGCACCGAATTTCAGAAATGTGGCAAATCCCCTGTGTTTTTGGACCCTGACCCCGCGGATCTGCGTGAGGGGTGGCACCGAATTTCAGAAATGTGGCAAATCCCTTGTGTTTTTGGACCCTGACCCCGCGGATCTGCGTGAGGGGTGGCACCGAATTTCAGAAATGTGGCAAATCCCTTGTGTTTTTGGACCCTGACCCCGCGGATCTGCGTGAGTGGTGTCGATTTCGAGCGCCCCCAGCAATTCAGACAACGCGCCCAGGGGGTGCTAAAAATCCCGTTTGGGCTTCCCCCCCCCTCGCGCGGTCAATCAACGAAGTCAACTAGTTACAGTAACCAGCAAGAAGCAGAACTCTAACACTGGAAACTAGAAACTACAACTGGTACAGGAAACTGCGAATCACGGTCCTACAGCCTGGTGGCCCCACAAGGGGGCCGGCGGATTATCGGTATCACTATCGATCTCACTCATCGGGACACCACGGGACACCACGGGACACCACGGGACACCGCGGGACACCGCGAGCCACTGCTGGACGGATGGACGGACGGGCAGGCGGGGGAGACTCATTTGTCTTGACTTCGCCCTAGCAACGGCGGACACCACGGGACATCACGAGACACTGCGGGACACCGCGAGCCACCCACCGCCGGACGGACGGGCGGGCGGGGGAGAGTCATTTGTCTTGACTTCGCCCTAGCAGTGGCGGGTTCGGTCCTCTCGCGCGCCCACGCAGCTTCGCCTCGCCCGCACGCACGACACGAACGAAACGAAACGATTTCCCGGTTGGGGGTCTCCGTTCCGCTGCGATCTCACCCCCCAACCTCCGATATATGCATGTATGTCTCTATCCATCTATCTAGAGGGTGGGGGGCGTCGCCCCACCGAACGAATTTCGACCACCCTGGGCCTTCAATACAACCCCGAAGAGGTCCAATACGTTTTTAAAGCGGCCCAAGACGATCCAAGACGGCCGCAGATGGCTCCACGACAGTTCAAAAGACTCCCAAAACGTCCCCCCCCCCGCCAGGTAGCTCCAAGACGGTCCAAGAGGCCCCCCCGAGACGCCCCGAAGAGCCCCGAGAGAACTCCGAACAAGCTACAATCGCTCCATGCCTCACGTGCAGCGTACATTTTTAGCCAGACGCCTTTTAGTTTCCCAAGGCTCCAGAACGGTCTAAGTGGCCCCCCAAATCGCCGCAAAACGGATCCAGAGGCCCCCACAAAATCCCAAGAGGATCCTCATACAGCCCCAGAGAGCCCCACGATGGCCCAAGGTAGCCCCACGATGTCCCGAGAGAGACCCCAGACGGCCCAATACGGCTCCTCGAGGCTCCCAAGAAAGCCGCAAGACAGCCCCAAGAAGCCTCCAGCAGAGCTCCACGACGGCGGCCCCAAAATTGTGCAAAACGGCCCCAGGACGGTCCAGAGGGGCCTCTAAGAAGACGTGGAAGCGCCCAATAACAAGGATTCGCCTCCCAATCCGTTCGTGCTCCCCCCTTCTGTGTTCACGACTGTTCCATAAGCTGGGACCCCAAAAGGGTCGGCGGATTCGGACCTATTAGTTGGATGCCTACTGATGCGATCGGTTCAATTCTCCACACGGGGTTATGTACGGATCTCCTATCACACGGATGGCATTGCATCCTTATCATGCGAAAATTCACGTATGCATGATGTTTGATGCGGTTCTCTTACAAGTGGTGTTGCCTGAATCTTCACACGGAAGATGGTATACCGTTCTTCACGTGCAACGTGCCATGCCTGTGTGATTGCCTCCGGGCAACTAGACTGTTCGCACCTTGCATAGCATTCATTGGAAGGCGGCGTTCAGGACTGCGCCCAGGGAAACGCTGAAGAACCAACAAAAAATCCCAGTATAACCCAACAGGCATTCAAAGACCACCGTAAGCCCCAAACAGCTCTCGCGAGATTCCCGTAATGCCTTTCCAAGGGGGAGGCCACGCAATAAAGCCTGAGAGTGGCAGCAGGGACGTGTTCGCAAACGACGAGCGAGAATGAAGAGGGAGCAGGAGGGACAGGCGATACGTGACAGATTTGCAACAGCGACGGGTCGAACGGCTGCAAGGAACCTTTTGTCTTTCTGGGTTTTCTCTCTCTCTCTCTCTCTCGCTCCTCCTCCTCGTTCTCGTCCTCCTCCTCGTCCTCGTCCTCGTCCTCGTCCTCGTCCTCGTCCTCGTCCTCGTCTCTCTCGCTCTTGCTCTCGCTCTCTCTCTCTCTCTTTCCTGCGCCCCGCCTGCCGCCTGCGTGCCGATCCTGAAGGGACAGTGCATGGCGCAAAGTGCCACTGCAGTGTTGTACATCTAGATGCCTGTTTGTATGCATGTATGTATACATTTGTATATACGCACTTGTAACAGCACATACGCACAGATACAGACACAGCAATCCATGTGGCGTGGTGCAGGCTACGCGGTGCAAGATACCTGGTCCGACATTTGCTGCACCTCCGGTGTCTGTGGTGACAGAGATGTCGTGCACCCCACGTTGAGGGAGTTACGAGGTGCATGCTGTGGAGTGTACCACACGTGGCGCATGTGATGCAACATGTTTGGTGCAGACTGCGTCGCAAGCCGTGTGGGCAAGTTATGTGACGCGAGCTATGTGATGCAATCTATGTGGTGCAAGTAATCACTTGCCGAACTTGAACTTGTCAACTCCACTGCTCGCGCAATCATCCCACCCACCCACCCGCAACTTGGTTTGCGAAACCCTTGCGGGACCGAGCACAGATATTACTCCGGGGTCGTCTTGGAGCCCTCGGGGGCGTCTCAAGAGCGCCCCAAGAAGGCCGGAGAAGCAAGACGGCCGACGACGACGACGACGGCGACGATGACGACGCCGACGTCGACGATGACGAAGACGACGACGCCGACGCCGACGACGACGACGAAGACGACGACGACGTCGCCAACGAAGACGACGACGAGGGAGGAGGGAGGACGACGACGGCGACAACGACGACAACGACGACAACGACGACAACGAGGGAGGAGGGAGGACGGCGACGACGCGAACGACGAAGAAAGAGGAAGGACGGCGACGCCGACGACGAAAACGACGAGGGAGGAGGGAAGACGACGACGAGACGACGACGACAACGACGACGACGACGGCGACGAAATAGGAGGGACGACGACGAGACGCCGACGACGGACGACGGACGACGACGAGGGAGGAGGAGGAAGGACGACCACGGCGACAACGACGACGGAAACGACCACGACGCCAAAGAGGACGACGACGACGAACACGAGGAAAGACACAGGACGACGTAGGCGACGACGACGACGACGACGCGGGAGGAGGGAGGACGACGACGACGACGACGACGACGACGACGCCGCAAGAGCGCGCGCGCACGCTTTTGTTGAAAATCCGTGTTGCGAAACCTTGTGTTTTTGTAGGTTTTTTGGACGCGCGATTTTGAAATCCTTCCGAAACCGATGGGTTTTGAAGGATTTCGGCGTACGCGCGCGACGACGCGCGCGTCTGCACTTCGTCCCGTTTTTTGCAGAGGATTCTCGCGGCGGCACACGTGCAGGGGCGTTCGACAGATTTCGACATGCGCGCGCGACGCCCGTTTGGTAGCATGTTGTGAAAATCTTGCAAAACCGATGGTTTTCTTAAGATTTCGCAAGAGCTCGCGCGGAAGCTTTTTTAGCAAATCAGTGTTGCGAAATCCTGTGATTTTGTATGTTTTTTTGGAATCTCGATTGCGAAATCCTTCCGGCACCGAAGGTTTTTGAAGGATTTCGGCATGCGCGCGCGACGACGCGCGCGTGTGCACTTCGTCCCATTCTTGGCAAGGGATTCATGAACAAGTGTTATGTTAGAACAAAACATGTCACCGCACAGTGTTTTTTACAAGGGAACCTCAGGGGGGGATACCGGCTGGCCTGGGACATTGTGTTTTCATATTTAGGATGGACATGTGGTCAGAATCATATGTGATTTACATACCCGAAAGGGGGGGCGATAACTCCGGGGGGGGGGGGCGGGTCGAGTCTATTCTTTTTTTAGAAAGGAGAATCTACGCAGTGCGAGCGATGTGGTACACCCAGCGCACGGGGCGCCCACGAGACTTCCACGTGCGGCCAGTGGTAGGCACTAGGCGAAGCCCTGACGCGCCCACTCAGCGCCGGTGCGCCCACGCGGCGCCCACGACTGGCCACCAACAGGGCCACATTTCATAACCTCTGGCGCACCCGCCCAATGCTCAGTCCGTACCCTCAGTTTTGAGTGTAAGCGCTGGTGAGGGAAACTTCTGGAACACCTCGCGGATATCTTGGACCGGCGCTGGACACCCCATCCCTGGCGCGCAGAGCGCGCCTCGGGCGGCGCCCGGCGCCGACCCAACCCGCGCGGAGCTCCAACAGTCTGTGTTGATGCACGTTCTCCTCCTCCAGGAGCTGGCGCGCAGGCTGCACGCGGAGCGCGCCGCCTCCGCGGCCGAGGCGGCGGAGCGCTGCGACGGCGCGGGCGAATCCTGCGCGGGCCGCGAGCGCTGGAGCTTTTGCGAGTGGCTCTCGGGGAAGGATCGGAGGAGGCAGTGCCAACCCGACCGCCCATCACCGACGTTTGCTGAACAGCCCCGAGCGGTTTCCGAGCAAGCCCGCCTTTCTCGATGCCCTCGTTGTGTGCGTTCACCAGGGTCCGAGGCAGGACCTTACACGTGCCCACCGTCTGGAGGATCCATTTTCGGGGACCCCGGCGGGTGGCGGACGTGGATGTCGGGCCGAACGAAAGGGGGGGATAGGGAAAGGGGGGTTACGAATTCTGCTGCGTGCAGCTGGTTTCGGCCCCGCCGCCGGGCACATTCCTCGATGCATGGGCGCCTCCCGGCGCCGGGAGGCGCCGGGAAAATCAGCTACGTGAGCTGATTCTCCCCCCCCCCCCCTCTGCTATCCCCCCCTTTCGCCCGACCCGAATGTGGATGTCTCGGGGCCCTCTGGGGGCAAAAATACAGACCCCCATCCGCCGCCCGCTGGGGCACCAGGACGTCGGTGTGGCGGTGGCTATGGATGAGTCCCCGCCCCGCACAGGTGGGCTTCGCTCGTCGGGGTGCTTGTTGTTGAACATTATTACTTCTAAAGAATAATTATTGTTGGGACCCCTGGTGCACGACCCCCCCGCCGCGCCTAGGCCGCAGCCTCATTTTCATCATTTTCGTGAGGAAGTCTCAGGCAAAACGGGTTGGTCCGGATCCGGTTGTGTTGTTACGATCGGTTTTCCCTTGCAAAAAATAAGCTAAAGTGGACATTTCTTGTTCTAACATAACCAAACTTCAAGAATCCCTTGCAAAAAATAAGGTAAAGTGGACATTCGCGCGCGCAAGACGAAATCCTTCCAAAACCTTAGTTTTCGTAGCGATTTTAACATAAAAACATCAAAAAACCAATGGTTTTTCAAACAAAAATTGTCAAAATTTCATCCCGCGCGCTCTTGCGGATTCGTAGGAAACCCAACACTTTTTAAACATTTCTGTCAAACGGGCTTTTGCGAGCAACTTTTTCGAACTTCTGCAACAACGGTTGCGCACCTGCCAGGGCCATCATCCCTGTCAAATAATACCATGCGGGACACATTCGTTTTTTCTTCGCGCGCGCACGCCGTCGTCGTCGGCCGCGGGGCCCTGAATAGTAGCCACGGTCGTCCGCATGCCACGAAGTGAAGTGTCCGAACGTCATAGGGCGGGAAGCTGGGTGTGGGTGGTGGCGAAGAGTCGTTTGGAAATTTGGTAGAGCTTGAACCGGCCCCCCCACAAAGTGGGGGTATTGCCCGCCTCCTATGAAAACCCTGGCACTGGTGAGAACGGAGTGTCCCCACGTGCTAGTAATTGTTGTTGTTGTTGTTGTTGTTGTTGTTGTTGTTGTTGTTGTTGTTGTTGTGCTGCTGTTGTTGTTGTTGTTGTTGTTGTGTTGTTGTTGTTGTTGTTGTTGTTGTTGTTGCTGCTGCTGCTGCTGCTGCTGCTGCTGCTGCTGCTGCGCTGCTGCTGTGGTGGTGGTGGTGGTGGTGGTGGTGTTGTTGTTGTTGTTGTTGTTGTTGTTGTTGTTGTTGTTGTTGTTGTTTGTTGTCATTGTTGTTGTGGAGGAGGAGGAGGAGGAGGAGGAGAGGAGAGAGGAGGAGGAGGAGGAGGAGAGAGGAGGAGGAGGAGGAGGAGGAGGCGGAGAAGGAGGAGGAGGAGGAAAAAGGGGAGGGGGGCGGGGTGCTTCTTGTGAGAGGGGCTCCTCGGCCCTCCACCAGAAAGGTCTGCCAGCCGCTGGCGGAGGCGCTGGCCGCCCCGCTGGCCGAAGCCGAGCGCGGCCAGCTTGACTTTTCGCTCGTCCAGGCAGGGCTCCTGTCGACTCCTCCGCCTCGATCCGCTTGGATGAGGGGAGCAAAAAGTGACATAAACATAAAAACTCGGAGGTCCGCGCGGATTTCTCGGATCGGCGCTGGACCCCCCTCCCTGGCGCGCGGAGCGCGCCAGGGGCGGCGCCGGAGGCGCCGCCGGGGGGCCCCAGCGCCGATCTGAGAAATCCGCGCGGACCTCAGAGTTTTTCTGTTTATGTTCGACGGATCACGATCCCGATTTGCTTCGACCTCGGATGCCGGTCTGGATCTCGGCGTCTCGGTGGGAGGCCTGTGCTGGCCTGCCGGCTTCGGCTTCCACCGATGCGTTCCCTCCCGACCTGGCTGCCGATGTCCGCCGATCCGATCCATTCCGATCGCAGATCCGACTCATCGATTCGATTCTGGGCTCTCCTGTCCAGGCGCTCGGCCAACTGGAGCTCGAGCGCGACGGCACGGCGAGGGAGGTCGTCGTAGGCCTGCTGCGCAGCGGCGGCGTTCTCGAGAAGCTCGCCGACGTGATCGTTGGGATGGCGAAGGATTGAAGCAGAGAAAGCTGCGCAGACATAAACTGTGGACCGTCCGCGCGGCTTTCTTGGATCTGCGCTGGACCCCCCTGGCGGCGCCTTCGGCGCCGCCGCTGCGCGCGCCTTTGGAGGAGGGTCTGGCGCAGATCCAAGAAATCCGCGCGGACAGTCGACAGGTTTGCACGTTTATGCCGTCGTTTGTTGATCTAGAGCTGAGTCGGGCCTGTCCCTCTATAGGGGGGATCTTCAAAAATAGTCCCAAAATAGTCTGGGGAATAAAAATAACAAATAAGAGGAAAATGCGATTTTTGAATATTTTCGGGATATTTTTTGAGCATTTTTCAGTTTTCGCCCAAAATCCCCCTGCAGGGGGACACGCCCGACTTAGTTTATGCCGTCGGTTGTCGACCTGGAGGAGCTCACGCGGGCGCAGGCCGCCACGGCCGGCGAGATGAACTGCAAGTTCGCGAGCGAGCCGGGCTCGTTCTGCTTCTCCTACGGCACCCAGAGCGACTTCTTCGGGGGGCTGGAGGACCTCATTACCCAGACCCCCTCGAGTCATGAAAAATTCACGACGGAAGGTTTTTCCATAATTTTCCGCCTCCGGGGGCCCTTACCTGCCCTCGGGACCGTCAAAAAGCAACTCAGGATGAAAAACCGGTCCCGGCGAATAGGGGTCGCGTCATGAAAAAATCATAACGTCGGGGGTCTGGGTAGGGAGCCACATGCGAACCCTACCCCTACCCCCCACGATTTCTGAGGGGGAGGGTGGGGTTCACTTCGCTCGGGAGCTCCCGAACGACAGGAGCCCCACCTCCTCCCCCTCAGAAATCGTGGGGGGTAGGGGTAAGGTTGGGCTGGAGGACCTCATTGGCTCGGGCCCGACGAAAGGGGGGGATAGGGAAAGGGGGGGGTACGAAATTTGCTGCATGCAGCTGGTTTCGGCCCCGCCGCCGGTCCCATTCCTCGATACATTGGCGCCTCCCGGCGCCTGTAGGCGCCGGGAAAATCAGCTACGTGAGCTGATTCTCAAAGCCCCCCCTCTGCTATCCCCCGGATCGGAGGTGGATAGACCTCCTACCCTGACACGTCGAGTAAGGAATTGGCCGTCTTCGGTTCGCGAGAGGGCGTCGCGGCCGTCATTTTTGTGGGTCCAGGTCCGTCGGTTTCGGTCCCAGGCCGTTTTCACTAAGGGGAGTTTACTAAAGGGAGGTTTGTCCACCTCCGAGAGGATCTCATTGGCTCGCCCGACCCGAGGGTGGAGAGAGCAATGATGCGCGAGCACTGTGATGCGGAGGACTCCGCTGTCGAGTGGACGACTCAGAACTACGGGGTGACAACCACGCCGGAGATAGAGTGGCACTTCGTGGCAGGGAAAAACAAAGACCCTCGGATAGCCCGGCGGTCGCATGACGTGTTTCGGTCAGGATCGAGGACCCTCGGATCCGTTCAGGAAGACCACGGCGGCAAAGGTAGCCCGCGCCCTGAGGCGGGCGACGCGAGCTCCGAGTGGAAGTGGCCCGAGGAGACGGTCACGGAGTACCGCCGCCAGTGGAGGGACATCGGCGACTTCAAGGACGTGTTCGAGGGGATCAACGCGAAGTTGAGGGACAAGGGTGAGCAGCCGCTGGACCTACCCGAGTGGCTCGGAGGCCGCCTCTACACTGGTCCCATGTTCGAGAAGTATCCGGGTGTGCTGACGCATAGCCACGTCATTGCGCTGGGGGAATTTGCACGGCAACGCTGTAGTGTGGCACACCTGTACCGTTTCATGGTTGTAGCAATGTCTTCTGCGGCGGTCTTGAGAGGGGTCTCTCGGGTTCTCCTTCGTGGCTATCGGTGCCGTTTCTGGAAGGGTTTTGTGTCCGTCGCGGGTGGTCATGTGGGTCCTATAACTTGTCTATTGTCTTGGAACATTTGGGCGTCGCTTTCTGTGGGTGGTGAGGCTGGCTTGGGCCAGTCTTGGGGGCCAATCTTGGCAGGCATCGAACTGTCTTGAGATCGTCTTGGGGCCCTCCAGGGCGCCTCTTGGCCCGTGAGGTGTTGTCCTGGGTGGGCCGAGTGCGGTCCAGAGGCGAACCGGCTGCCGTCCTGAGCGCGTCGCAGGAGCAAAGAACACAGCGCGCAACAAACTACATCAGTGTCTTCGTCCTCCTAGGAGGACTCCTCGTGTATCGGCGAGTGTGCATTTTCTGAGGTTGCGAAGCCGTCTCGATTTACTTCCGGACGCGCGGGAGGGGCAGTCTTGCGGGAGGAATTGTCAGTTCCGAGGAATTGCAAGGCGATTTGGAAACCACCGTGAGCAGCCTCGGCAGAACGAGTGTTCCCAGGCTTCGAAATCAACTCGCCGAGCCCTGGTGCCGTGCTGTTCCTGCGTTGCGTCACTTTGAACGGAGTTCAATGGGGGGACTGTACGTATGGCGAACGCTACGTCTTACAGGCGCTGCTTTGGCTCAGGGCTGCGCTGTCCCATTTGCTTGACTCGAGCCGTCGTGGTACCATCGAGCCTGGGTGTTAGATAAAGGCCATGTCCACCGATGGTTCGTCTCGCCATCCCATGTATTGTCTCTCTTCTCTTATCTTGCCTGCCATCAGTGGAAAACTATGGGATACTTCGATATGTCTCCGACGTTAGCTTAATAGTGAGGGTCTCAGCATACTTCTGCATGGCGTTCGCCTCATTCGCTCTTCACTGGGTCAGGGAGCTGGCCTCACCTTGACATGGCTGGCTCGTACATCGTGCTTTATGTACGTAGTAACTTACCACGGCACAGTGGAACGCCCACCCGCGCCAGCTATCAGCCACTTGCGTTCTCAATATGTACTCTTCATCCAATTGGTCACTTTCTTTCGTTTGCCTCCGTCTCCCCACCGCGTGGCAGTACGCCACGCACATACCAAGCTTTCACACCCATCCTCAATCTTACGGCCACGTCAGACCAGCCATCCAGCCGTAACCCCACAGGTACGACAAACACCAGTGAGACAACTCCTGGTATCATCAACTACAGTACGACCATGTGTTCTGTCAAGGTTATAATATTTGGAATTATATGGAAGTGCTTAGGGCTGGCCGTAGGACACATGCAATGAGGAGGATGAGGAGGAGGAGGAGGAGGAGGAGGAGGAGGAGGAGGAATGAACGAAACACGCATTCGGGGACCCTTCTGGGACCATGCAGGCAATGACCTTTCCGCGATTTCGTTCGTGAAGTACACGCATGGCTCAACGTCACGAGCGGAAGTACGACTCCACCCCAACAGGCCGCTGCGTTACAACGCGGCCTAGGGGGTTTAGCCAGGACGCTGTTTATGAGGGCACCATCTTCCATCATCAATTACTGTGTAAACTTACAAGGTACACGCACCGACGGATCACACACACATATATATGTATCATGTAATTCCTAAGCACCAAATTCAAGTATCCCGAAGATGAACGACAGCTCACGTCGGGAGCGGCCCACATCGACTTCAGGGTCGAAACAGGCGAACGCATCGACCCAGTACCAGCCCGATTTGAATTGCCAGGCTGGAAACATATTCGGCGGGTTTCAACATACCCAAATTCCAGATTATGACGTTCATGTTATTCCGTACTTTGGGAGTAGGTACCGCCCGAGCAGCACAACTACTACAACCGCTCAACAATCAGATGCCCAGTACTCAACAGCAGTACGACCAACTACTGGAGCGCATGCGCAGCCACGGGGATTTGGCTGAACGCTCCCCAGGTAACACCGGGAGCATCTTCAGCGGTCGTACAGTTGATGCATACCAAGCCGAAATAAACGACACACCGGCGGCCACGCCGAACAACATTTGGAACGATTGAGAGCAAAAGAAACCACAACCTTACAAGGCCAAGAGGCCAACACAGCACAGGCATCTGGCTCGAATGCTGGCTGGCCATCGGCCGCCAGGTATTCACCACCCGACGCGACCACCCTTTGGGTTCCCCCAACCAACAAGAAGACGAGTTCTCTGACCCGGGCACGGATACCGACACGGTTTCCTCAATTGGTGCCGAAAATTTTGAGTGGTCAGATCAACCCGCTGGCGATGACGCAGCGGCACAGTATGTGCAATTTCGCTATCATCATGCCAAGAGAAGGAGAAGGCTGCACTTGAACAAACCAGTTGCGAGATTTAGGCGAGCGGCACGTCGCGTCTTTTTTCGTGAAGATAAGGGTCGTGGGATGGGTGGTAGGCGGACCCGCAGATTGCATGGTAATGAAATGGCCTCGTACCTAACGAGGTTAACGAATCGCGGCTTTGAGGAGCCGTTCTTTGGAGGTAAGGGAAGAGGTAAAGGTCGTCACAGGCATGCCACGGGTAAGATGAAAGGGGCGTAAGCTAAACCCCATGGACAATAATGGAAAACGTATGACTCGCAACTCCTGCGGGAACGACATCTATTTCCAGGCTTTGTGTCCAGGGGGAGGCGGGAAGGGAGACGGAACCGCGCGTCTTGGCTCAGGGCAAAACGAAGATGACGTGCCTGAGTGCGTGGACTTTCCCGAACCCGATCATCCTTCCCAAAGGAAAGGAACTGCCTGGTTCTTGATGGCCAACTTCGCCGAGTCTGCCAAGGCGGTCGCGCTGCGCCGAGTACCTGTACGATGGCATCGAGGAGTTCTACGATGCGCCCTACAAGGACTGCGCCGGCTTCCCTCGGCGCGGGCACGCGCGAGATGACCCTGGCGATTTCTGGCGACGAGAGCGAATGTGGGTCCAAAGCGCGAACTATGCTTGCCGGCGAAGCTGAGCCACTGGAACATCGGTTCGGGCGCGGGCACGGGGGCTTCCGACGCAACCCCGACAGTCTTTGACCTTGCGGATGCGGAACAGGCGGCTGTGGGCTGGGGCCAAGCACGCGCCAACATCTTTATGATGTGGGGCCGCGCAGGCCAGGCGGGCCCTCACTGGGTCGAGCTGCCCTGGCAAAGGCCGCGAAGGCACGCCGCGGCCGCGAGACCGCGGCAGGCCCTCCAGGGAGATCTGGGGAAGCGAGCCCGGGCGCGGGCGGCGTCGGCCGAGGCCCCAGCAATTCGCGCGCGGCGGGCCCTTCGCCAGGCAAGGGCTATGCCCGATCTGCTGGCCCCATCGCATGGTGCTGGCTCCAGTGGATCGGGCCGAGGACACGGCGACTCCTCCTTGTCTTATGATGAACGAGGTCCACGCGTGGAGATAGCTGGCGAGGATGTGGCGTGCTCGTTGGGCCAGGGCCACAGCGAGAAAGACGTTCGCCATTGGTGGCCCCTTCGACGCGTTCTCCGCGACAATGCTGGTCGCGTCATCAAGACGACATGTCGCCGAAGTAGAGATCGCGATGAGACGCGTCAGTATTAGCGGCGTGTTGTTCAAGCCCGGAAGGGCCACCGCGCGCGCGCGCCTGTCCGCGCTTCAGCGGATGCTGCGACGGCTGCCCCGCGGATCGACCGTCGCGCGACCCCCATCGCCGAGAGACTCCGTGGAAGCCCGACCGCGGCAATGGCGTTGGAGGGTCGGCCACGACCGAAGCAGAGCACCTTCCCTTGACCGGTGCCGAGGCCTGCAATCTCAAGATCGACTGTAAGGCGCTCCCCGACGACCGCATTCTCAAAATTGGCAGTCAAGATCGGCGACGGCGCCCAGGACATGGGCGGCCGCGCCCGGGCTGCCCCTGGAACCGAGCCGCCGAAGACGGTGCCCACAGAGAAACTTCGCCCAGTGCAGGCAGTGGGCTGAGAACCGTCCCCAGACAGCGACAACGAAGTCAGGGTGCCGGGCGAGATCAAGCACGGCCCCCTGCATGGGCCGCGGCGGGGACGTCCAGGCAGCATTTCCTGACGGGCCGCTGTTTTTGCTGGTGACTCCGCGCCGTTGCCCAGACAACCGACCGCTGCGCGTCCGGGCGAATTTCGGGCCGGCCCGTTTCATCGCGGTAGCTGGGCACCGTCCTTGCCCCCCGTGGGCAGAGGAAGGTCAAATTCGGAAATTGGCGAGGGGTTCGGCCGCGAGGCCATATGAGAACCTGAGGGGCCCTTGGGCCCCAGAGCCACGCGGATCCTCAAGGCGACCAGGGATCTCATGGCCCCGAAGGAGGAAGCCGCGCCAGAACAGGGCCGCCAGGCCGCTGGCTTGCCCCAGCCAAGGCCGGTTGGCGCGCAACCGCGACCAAACCCGGCCGGTCTCCTCGTTGAGACACTCTGGCCATCGGCAAGGGCATCAGCAGGGGCAAAGGCGAAGTTCCAAGGAGGGCCACCGGCTTCAACGTATGCAGCTTCATCAGCCGCAGCTTCCTCAGTTCTTGGGCCACTGGCCGTGTGGCCTAAGGCGGCAGTGCCAAAGGCAGATGGAGTACCAAGGCCCGTGCCACCAGTGACGAACACGTCCGATGAGGAGGAGTACACTTGCGACCCATGCAACATGACGCTGACCGAACCCACCGACATTCGGAGTTAGCTCATGCACAATGAACTTCGTGAGTCTAGGTCTTTGCATCTCGAGGAAACAATATCGACCCTGGAGGCCAAGCTGACAGAGAAGGAATTCAGACTTCGTCTGGCTCCAAATCGCGGTGAGCTGACTGTAACGTCCGAGTGGTGGTCTACTACCCGCCGGCACGGACCATATCGTAATGGAAGCTTCACGGGGCAGGAATGATCGCCGGGTCATGGCCAACGACGCCCTGAAGCAGATCTGGGGAGGTAAAGGTCATGGCGTTATCCAGGCTTGTATGTATGATTACGACGA